CGGGCCAGGGCAAACCAGTTGGTCATAGCCCAAGCCCAGCCCAGCTTTACCCTCAAGCTATAGTTGCATGGCACTGGCCTGGCCCTCAGGCTACATTTTGTTACCTAGGCCCTAAATATTTTTGGCTCCAAACTGACCGGGGTAATACTAAGGAAGCCCCACCTTTCTAAGCCTCCCTCAAATGGGGTAATACCAAGGAAGCCCCATCATATAGGATGGGACTCTCCCAACATTCGGAACATATTTTTTTCGAAGGTTTTCTATCAGTGTTTTATTGATAGAAATAAAAAAAAAAGGTTTTCCATCAAATTTTTCCCCTTGTTCGGAATTGAAACCAAACCCTAGCCAAGTCGTTGGCGAAGGCAAATTTCTATGGGGACTTTGTGTGGAGTACTTTTGTTGGGCATACATTTAAGAGAAGGTTTAACAATGTTTCGTTGGGCTTAGTTATATCATGCATTTTTCATGTTATGGGAGTTTAATATCATGAAAATAGCAAGAACATAATCCCTTGTTAAAGCAAATAGTTGATTTCGTTTTAAAGTCTACTTTTCATCCCTTTTGGAACTTTATGGAGTTTCGAATGTTTGAACTTCTTGTGTCTAATCTAGACTTTACCATAAGCTTCTTCAATTTAGTTCAATGTTTGATCACTCCGGCTAGCCAGCTCAGATTTGCCACCCCTGTTTGAGCCCGAGTATCCTCGAATTGGGTGTCCACCTAGGGGATCTTAAAAAAATTGTAACAAAATTTAAAAAATAAGAATTATATATATATATATATATATATATATATATATATTATTATGCTTTCTATCATTTTGACAAAGATTGGATAGTGTTTTGGGCCATGAATACTTTTTTTTTTTTAATAGTTTATTTTTCTACGGAGAAGGAGCATGCCATTTTCCCTTTCAAAAACGCAAAGCGCTTTATATGGGAAGACGCCCCAACAAAGTGTTGTATTGGCATACTAGAGACAAGACCTCAATCAACACAAAAGCAAATCCTTTTGTAAGGAATCACACGTCATTCGATTATAATGGTAAATGCAAAAGCCAACAAGGAGTGTCGCCCCCACCATCTCAAACTTTGAGAAATGCTTTTGGGGATCCATTGAGCATAATCAAGAAGCTAGGATTGCAAATGGATGCTAACATCCATCAAAATGCTGAGGTTTTTTTCCTCAAAAATTCCAGACAGCTCAGCAATGGAACCTTCCACCCACTGCCAAAACACACCTTTGTCACTGACATCGTGATGCTCAGGACATATTAATCTGATTGTCGATGAGAATGAACCCTAGAATTGATGAGAAGCACTCTATAGTGTGACCACGACAAAGGTAAAGTATTCATCAAATAATAAATTCGTGAAACACATAAACTCTAACATGTCATTATTCATAAACCATGTACTTCAGTTCGGGAGAAAAAATTTAAATATTCAAATTCACATCTCTACCAAACATGAAAAACTATCCAAACAGCAAAATCATTCCTCACAATCTTGTATGCAAAGTCTTCGTGCATGCTGCATTTTATGTTACAAGATCTCCAAACGATCAATTACTCTACTATTTCGACAACATAAAGCATTGTGTTGCCATAGGATAAAACTTCGTCAATAGAACAACAGCACTTGAAATTATTCTACTGTTTACATAAGAATACTAAACATTGTCTTCCCACCTCATTAACTCCTAACAGACCCACAAGGAAACCATAATTCCCAAAGCTATGTCCCCAAAATTGGACCAAACTTCAAAAGCATTATTATGTTTCACATGATTTGAATGACAATCCTATACATGATTCTAATAGCTCCAATTTCCTTACATCATGAGCAAGGTAAAGAATTTAACAATCTTCAGTTAGGAAAGATTCAGGTGTCAACCATGGTACCAAAGAGAAGAGAAGGAAATAAATACCGGGTACGCATCCAGTGCGAAGGGAGCAAGAGCCATGCGCAGGCATCTGATGGCCGAATCGCGATCTGCATCAGTCCCTTTCCTCAAAAGCTCAATGAATTTCTACAGATGCAAAGACCTCAGATCAGACAATCAAAAGCTCAAGCGAGAGAGAGAGAGAGAGGGAGGGAGAGTACTATGAAACTTGACACATTTAAAATCCACAGATGATCAAGACTCCAGATGGGTGCAGAGAGAGAGAGAGATTACAACGAAATTCAACACATTTAAAATTCCTAGATGTCCAAAGACCCCACAATGAAACACAAAGGAAGAGTGAGCAAGAGAGATACTTGTTTATGCAACCGGAAGAGGAGGCGGTGATCATCGAGAACAGAGGGAGCATGGCGTTGGAGGAGATGGAGCGCGGAGTCGACATCGCCAGACCCCAGAGACTGGCGGATCTGCTGGATAAGCAAGCGGGAATGGTAGGAGGAGGAAGAAAGAGAAAGAGTAGGAGAGAGAGAAGGCGAAGAAGAGGGCGAGGAGGGGTGGAGGAGATTATCAGCGATGGCGTAATCAAGAACGATAGAATCCAGGGCGTCCCAATTCACAGGCATCGACTCCATCTGCAAGTGTCTAATCTCCCTCTCTCTCTCTCTCTCTCTCTCTACAGAACTCCGAGTAAGTTACTTGCGCACTCCCACTACTTATCTCTCTCTAA